TTGACAAGGTTGAAGCGTTAAACAGCTATTTTGCTTCGATTTCGTCTTCGCATGATGTCGAACCCGAATTACCTGCCTTTTCTTTATTGTGTAATAGTGTTCTTAAAAGTATTGAACTAGTTGAGCAGGACATTATTGATATAATTTCTATTCTCCCTGTGAACAAGGCCATAGGACCTGACAATATCAGTCATAAAATGTTAAAAGCTACCATTTTTAGCGTCTCTTATCCTTTATGTATTTTGTTTAACAGATCTTTAAGGGAATGTGTATTTCCTAAACAGTGGAAGGTAGCTAATGTACTTCCTTTATTTAAAAAAGGTGACCCATCATTATTATCAAATTATAGACCTGTGTCATTATTAAGCTGCGTAGGTAAAATTATGGAGCGAGTTATTTTCAAATATGTTTATAATTATTTTCATTCTAACAATCTTTTTTATAAATATCAGGCTGGTTTTTTACCAGGTCATTCAACGGTTTATCAACTTATTGAGACATATGATTACATAGTTAAAGCTATTGATGAAGGAAAACACTGTTGTATGGTTTTTTGTGATTTGTCTAAGGCTTTTGATCGGGTGTGGAATAAAGGTCTTCTCTTTAAGCTACAAACATATGGTGTTTGTGATAAGTTATTACTATGGTTTCAAAGTTATTTAGATTTAAGGACACAAAGAGTATTGCATAGGAATACTATGTCTAGTTTTAAATCTTTACATGCTGGAGTCCCCCAGGGGTCTGTATTGGGGCCACTTTTATTCTTGATATATGTCAATGATGTTGCTGAAAATTTGTCGACTTTAAGCAGATTATATGCTTATGATAATTCTTTACAGAAATGTTCAGAAAATGTACATGATATTCAATTAGGATTGAATAATGATTTAAATCAACTTGAGCGGTGGTCTAAGCAGTGGCTATTGGAATTCAATCCTACGAAAACAAAAGCTGTATTTTTTAGCACTAAGAAAAATGTAGATTTACCATTTCTCAAATTTCAAGATTGTAACTTAGATTTTGTATCATCACAAAATCACTTAGGTATTCTCTTTTCAAACGACCTCACTTGGTCAGCGTACATTGATTCTATCGTGGCCAATGCATATAAAAAATTAGGTCTACTTAAAAAACTGCAATTCAGGGTCAGTGCTAAAACTTTATCTCTTTTATATACTACTTTTATAAGACCTCAGTTAGAATACGCAACTGAAGTTTGGTGTGGGTGTTCTAGTCAAGATTCCGAAAAATTAGAAAAATTACAACTTGCAGCGGCAAGAATAGTCACTGGGTTAACTTCATTAGCATCGCGAGATTCTCTTTATTTTGAAACTGGTTGGGAACCACTTGCTGTAAGACGAATTTCCAAAGTTAGAACAACTATGTATAAAATATATAATAACATGGTACCCGAGTATCTGAAAGATATATTTCCAAATATTCGATCACATGAATCAAATTATGTAACAAGACAGTCACAAAATTATTGCATCCCTAAGTGTAGATTAAATATATATAAATCATCATTTGTTCCAATAGCAATAAGGGAGTGGAACTCTTTGTCTCTTGAAACACGACAATCTACTACTATAGGTTCATTCAAAAATTGTGTAAACTCTCAGAGAACACCCACCCCGTCTTTTTTTACTTTTGGTGATCGTTACTGGAGTGTAATTCATACTAGATTAAGACACAATTGTGTTCTAAATAAAGACTTATTTAGATGTAATATTATTGACAGTCCATTATGCACTTGTGGAAAAATAGAAGACGCATATCATTTCTTTTTCTCTTGTACGAAATACACTGCTCCAAGAAACGACTTGTTCAATGCTATTTTTAGAATGATTAACTTACGTATTGTAGACACTCATGTTCTGTTATGGGGAGATAATTCAATCAGTATTTCTGAAAATGAAAGTTTATTTCTAAATGTGCAATTGTTTATCAAGAGATCTGGTCGTTTTTGAGTATTTTGATTCGTTTGTACATACTACATCAATTTTAAATTGTGTACATGCATTACTTATGTTAAATAATCTTATTGACCTTTGGTTCCAGTGTAAATTAATTTTTGAACAAAACTTTGTGTAATTAATTGTTATAAAGGAGAGGACGTTCTAAGTATTAAGTACTTGTGTCCAATCCTTTTGTTGTAACATCTTAACAATAAAATATGTTCAAACCAATATTTCCTATAGTGTATGTTAGGTTGGGAAAAACGTGGGGGGGGGGGGGGGCAGCCCCCCTCTGCCCCCGGATACTACGCCCCTGTAAAGTCTTAAAACATGATGGAAAAACAGTGGTGCAGCAGAGGCGCCATTTGCGATATTGAATGCACGAGAAACACTGAATAGTAACACTAGTAGTATCCGGGTATAAACGGTACACTAAAACATTTCACACGGACTAAAACGGAATAACACCAAACAGTCTACGAACATACAAATACAAATATATATTGGCACAAACACAATTACAGTAATTGGTAAAGGCCCATAGAAAACATAGTGATAAGCATCAAAAAACAGTAGAACGCAACTAGAATACAAACAATTGGTGTAGCAAATTATGTATTGTACTCATAAAATACTATATAAATACATACATATGATTCTGTTCAATGTAGTTACTCATTTATAGCTAAAACTTTTTTTCTTATATCAGATATTTGACATAAAAATGATCAGAATATTTTAAGAACCTTTTTACAACTAGTTTTCATCAATAGTTTTAACAATTTGTCATTATTATGGATTGTTTGGTTCAAGTTAAGACAGTTTTGTTTTGAATATGTTTCTCTGTGCTTCATATTTTGGACATAGCAAAATGAAATGTTTTTCATCCTCAATATCAAGGTTTTGACATACTTTACATATCCTATTATTTTTATTAATTTCAACATATCTACCTTTTTCAATTTCGAAGTTGTGTGCACTTAACCTAATTTTTGCTAAAAATGATCTATCATGTAGTGACTCTAGTTTGTCAACATAATGAGCATGTCTATTATCAAGACAAAAGTTCTGATAAAACGACAGTTTTGAGGAGTTTATTATATTTGCATTTTGTTCTTGTAATATTTGATCATGAATGCGTTGTTTAATAATGCCAAGCACTGGTTTCATTGACATATTAAATTTTTTTAAATAAGAAAATCATAAGTTATTAAGACAAGTTTTTAGACACATAGACCATGTGTTAGTTTCTTTAGTTTTGATAAAGATTTCATATGCCAATGTATGTTCCATTGAAATTAAATGATCAAGGTATTTGATAGCAAACATAATAATTTTTGATTTGACTGGGAGTCTCCCGAGTTCAGAATAGCAGCCATTATTTGAAGTTTTGCAATGAACTCCTAAGATTTCTTTTAAAAATTTAATATGAAATTTTTCATAAGATGCTGAGCCTGAATTTTTTATGACTAAGTCAATACCCCAAACTTCGCTGCCGTAAAGCAAAATGGGGATTATCATAGTATCAAATAATTTTTCAAGCAATTGACAGGAATGATGTAAATCGAGGGCTTTCTTTACCTTGAATAATGATTTTCTGGCTTTATCAACTAACCGATCTGCAGCAAGATTAAATTTGCCATTACATTTAAGATTTATACCAAGATAACAATATTTGTCGACAGTTTCAAAACAGATACCATTAATAGTAAAATGGTTTAAAAAGGTTTTTACCATTAGAATTAAATACCAGAATTTTTGATTTGGACGTATTAATCTCCAGCTTCCAATTAACATAATGATTTTCAAGAGTATTAAGGCTACATTGTAGACCATCTGGACTACTTAACAATAAAACTAAGTCATCTGCATATAAAAAACAGTGTATTTTTGTGTCCTTTTCGAATTTCGGATCAGAATTGATACTGTTTAATTCATCAACAATTTTGTTTATGAAAATGTTAAAAAGCAAGGGACCTAATACATCACCTTGTTTGACACCCCTTTCAGATATAAAGGGTTCACTTAATTCCTCATTAAACTTTATTTTGTTCATGTTGCTTGCATACATAGAATAAATCACATTGAAAATTTTCTTTGGAACACCATTTTTAGAAGTATGTAAAATAGACCTGTTCTCCAAATAGTTTCAAATGCTTTTCTCAGATCAATGAATGCTGCATAAACTTTTTTCTTTTTGAGTTTGTAATGCTCAATAATTATTATAGATTTTATAGAAAATATATGATCAGCTGTTCTGCTGTGTTCCATAAAGCCAATTTGATTTTTGCTAATTTGATTATTATCTAAAGTAAATCGTGTAGCAACCTCTAATGATAAAACGCCGCTTAATGATAGATATAGCATTAAGCGTTGCAATTGCAACTCTTAATGCCATAAATTATTGCATTAATAGCTGACATCATCAACCGCTAATGCTAAATCGCCGCTTTATTATAGAATTATATCATTAAGCGTCACAAATGCAGTGCAACATCGACGCTCAATGAAACAAGCAAATATCAACATATTCGACGCTTAATGATACACACTGGTGTATCATTAAGCGTTGCAGTTGCAACCCTTATTGATATAAAATTTAGAAATCGCTCGTAATATCTAAGAAAAACACACATCCACCTTTCCTGAACAATGAGATATCACTTGTCAAAATATTTATATACACCCGTGTGATATATAAAAAGTAATTAATGAAGTTTCATTGTGTTTTCTATTTAGTCAAGGGAACGTCATTAAGCCACGGATGTTTAACCCTTTCGACGCCAAAGCGACAAAAATGTCGTTTACTGTGTCAACGCCAAACCGACAAAAATGTCGTTTTCCAAAAAAATATTTACTTTATCTTTTATTTGCCATTTATCTTTTGTGTAATTAAACAAAGTCATATCTAAATTTTGACACAAGTATAGGCCTTTATTTTTGTATATGTACTGGTCTTTATATGACGTCATTTTGTTACGTTGACGTTGAATTGTGACGTCAGGTTATGAGTGAGTACGCTAGCGTTGAAAAAAACAAAGTATGGCGCACCATTCGGACATTACTTCTGACATAGATTCGGACGTGTTCGATTCCGATGATGATGATAATGAAGAATTTACTACATTTCGAGGTCCGTGGTTTAATGTAGTGGATCCTAGCTCGTTTATCATGCCGGACCCTGATTTCCAAGAAGAAACAGGGCCCGTCAATTTTGATCCAGGTATGTCAAGTTTGGAGTTTTTCATGAAGTTTCTCCAGCATGATCAACACGACATTGTTGATGTTCTTGTAAGGGAGACAAACCGTTATGCAGATCAGGAGATATCAAGAAGAAGCAGGCCCCCCATGATTTTAGGTCCACATTCACGGTTCCGTGATTGGTATCCCGTAACCCGAGAGGAGATGTTGGCTTTTATGGGCATTGTGTTGAGCATGGGGGTAGTGAAGAAACCAACATATGAATCTTACTGGGAGAGTAATACACGTGCTTGGTCAATGGAAACTCCAAATTTTTCCCAAATCATGGCTAGAAATCGATTTCAAGCCATACTGCAGTTTCTCCATTGCAATGATAACACAACGGCAGCAGAACCTGGGGAAATTGGGTATGATCCACTTCACAAAATTTCTCCAATCATTGAGTTTTTCAACGAAACCTTCAGCCGAAATTACAAGTATGTTTTCAATATAATACATATACACATAGATACATGTATCTTAATTTTTTCCTCACGAGGAAAATGAGCAAATCGAAGTTAAAAATTATAATGTGAACAAAACTTTATATATATCTCAGTATTCAGCCCTTTTTGTGCTGCCATTATTGTTGTAATTTTCTATATGTGGATTCAAAGATGTTTGACGTTCGAACATTTCGTACATGTTACAAAACCTGTATTTTTCACGAATATCTTACTTCTTTGATTTGTACCTCTATGTTAGAAATGCTTCATATTCTGTCATGGTGTGATATTTATATATTATTTAAATAACTGAATATCCCCCTGGGGTCGGTGAATAAATATACTAAGTACTCGTATATAAAGTTTTGAACGACAGAATGTTGATGTTAAACGAAGTCAGGTTATTGTCTTTAATACCCCCCCCCCTTTTATGTGTCAATTTTTTAAAAATTTCTTTTTAAGAATTCAGTAAAAATCTGCAAATGAGAGCTTCCTGTTAACACATATTTTTTAATCATAAACTTATCTATCTGTCAGGATTTTATTTTGTTTTTCAAATAAAGGCTTAACCGGGATGTTTGTGTAGATGAAAGAATAGTAGGTTTTAAAGGAAGGCATCAACTCAAACAATACATCTCAAATAAGAAGGCACACAGATGGGGGATCAAACTTTGGGTGCTGTCCGACTCCACTTCTGGGTACACTCATCACATTAACGTATACAAAGGCAGGAGAAATGAGCGACGCAGTCCGAACGGACAAGTAAGTGCTTTTGACAGAATAATAATAATTGTAACTGTTAAGAAAGTATTTGACACGATATTTCATTAAAAAAGTATATTCTCACTGCGATAATGCAGTATCCTACAAGTAGAGCTATTTGTTAAGTCAGGTGCTCTGATATTGACTTATGGGGGTGGTCCTGCTTTTCTGTATTTTTGTTTTCAAATCTCAAGCATCATGCATTTACGTGAGTACTCTGGTATGCTTTTTCCGCGAGAACTTGAAACTGATTTTCCGCTATTTGATTTACACGGGCTTATGTAGATTTGAAATGTCTTTTCCATGAATAAAAACAAAGACAAGTCGAAATATTCTGTTCCGCGTCTTTTCTATTATTTGTTTATGTTGCTAAACTGTGATTTTATTTCGAGGAATTTAACAAACAGCGGTAAATTTTTATTTGTCAATTAATTCAATGCTTAGAAGACTTTGTGATTTAAAAAAATAACTAAAAGATTTTTTTAGCAGATTGCATATTTACAAGCTAAAGAGTATAGGATCAATTAATACCATAGTATATTAATTACATTGCATTTTTTTTTATCAAAACATGGGAGTGCAACACCCCCTCCCCCCCCCCCCCCCCACTCACACACACCGAAAAAAGAACACTAAGTGAAAATCACGCGAACTCGTATATGTTGTAGGGTTATCAGGCAGTAATGGACTTGATGGAACCCCATTTCTACAAAGAGCATCATGTCACTTTCGACAGTTTTTTCACCAGCCCCAGACTGGTATACGATCTCTTGGACAAGGACACCCATAGTACAGGAACAGTTATCAAGTCTCGAAAGGATATGCCTTCCAGTTTTAAGAACCCAGCAATGCAGAGAGGAGATGTGAATGTTAAGACACGTGCTGGAGTGATGGCTGTACAGTGGGCAGACAGGAGAGTTGTATCTTTGTTGACCACTACTGGTTCTGCAAGGTATTGAATTTAATGAATCTCTTGAGACTGTACCTCTGTTGGTTTGTAATGAAAATAAATAGTGATGAAAACATTTTTTTTCATAGGGTTTGTAATAGCTTTTTATATTACCTTTACCTCTTAGAATTTGGTATCTGTATTCAAATGTTAGTGAAATTAACGAAAACTATGACTAATTGCCAGCCTTTCGATAGTATTTTACACCAAGTTATATTTATCATCATGTAATCGCTCCTCATCATAAATTGAAACATATGTATGTACATGTAATTCACTTGCTTTTCTACATATATACCGGTTGTACACTTTTATTTTTAGTTTATTAAAATATTTTAAAAATATCAAAACTTTAGGATGAGTCAAGTTTAAAAGTGTTACATATTTATAGGCAAATACAAACAACAAATGGAAAGGGTCGCGAAGTTTCTATTCCTGCCATAATAGATACCTACAATCTTACGATGGGAGGGGTCGATCTCGGAGATCAACTAATTCTCCAATTTGAGCCACAGTTCAAGAGTTTAAAGATGTGGAGAAAACTCCTATTTCACTCTCTTGTAACCGCAGCAGGTATATGCTTTAACATACACTTCCATGTATATAAAACATATTTGATTAAAGCTGTTCGGAATGTAAATTGTTATAAAATATTTTTGTGAAGTCGAAATGATTTTATCTTATAATATCTTTGTAGTAAATGCCTATATTTGCTACCGAGATTCCTTCATTGTACAACACAAAATGGATCATCTGAAGTTTCACCAGCAGCTTTGCCAAGAACTTATTGGAGGGTTTCGACAGGGTAGTAGGAACAGACAGCTGCGTTTGATACCAGTCCAACACAGAACCTTGGCAAGATTGTCCGAGAGACACTTTCCGTCCAAAATACCAGATGGTAAGCGTAAGAGATGTGCTGTTTGTGCAGGACATGGAGGCAAATTCAGGAAGACAAGAATTCAGTGGTGGTGTGAGGACTGCAGGGTCGGACTCTGTGTAGAGGGATGCTTTAGGAAATTTCACACGAGGATCAATTTTGAGGCGTAGTTGGAACACACATATAACAAACGATTACTCTACTCACTATGAAACTACCTTGCATTTAATCTAATTATGGTGTGTGTGTTTGACAGAGAGAGAGCGGGATTTATTTATTACCTATATTTATATTCTTATTACAGATAAATTCGAACCTATTTATAGCAGGGCTTGCGTCTGTTATATTGATGCCTTAACTAAAACGAATGGGACTAGGAGCTATATCTTTTTATGTTCGTAAAAATTAGAGAGTACGAGTATTATAGCAATTTAGCTAAATACATTGATTAACTTTGTTGACGGTGGCAAAATCAAATATACATGTATATTAAGTAAATTATTTAACAATATCTGTCAATCAAATGTTACGCACTTATTGAGTTTACAGAGAAGATATGTTATCAGTTTGGTATTCAAAAAAAAGTTTTAACAAGTTAAACACTAGTGACTACATATATTGTAATTGTATATTGATTGATATTCTTATTTCAAATTATAAATATGTGACAGTGTACACTGTAGTATACACTTATAACAATTATCAGAATTTCAATATATTATTTGAAAATATGAAAAAGTTTTTAAAGACTTATCTTGAGTATGCTAGCTACTGACATAAATATTTTTTAAATTTTATTTTACGCCAATTAAAAAAAATTATTGGTATAAAAAATGTATAAATTAATATAACATAAATATATAGCATGCATTTTCCAAGACAACATGGAACATCCTATTATCTTGGTTATACAGGTGCTCGTTTTATAACCAATTTGATGCTTTTTTGTGAAGCAATTGTTTGACGTCCGGATTGACGTCATAGTATGGCATTCATGACGTTATAGACGTAACGTTATTCGGCGTCGAAAGGGTTAAGAGATAGCTGGAAGAAAGAGATACAAACAAAGAGATAAATAAAATGATATTTAATTCCTTTAAAAGAACCATTTTAAACTCAAAATACAGAGGCAAACAAGCTATGAAATTCCTATCAGATTTATACAATGGTTTGAATAGTCAACCTGAAATATATATATGTTTTAGATTTGATACAACTTAACACATATCACCGTTAACGTTTCAGATATACGCACAGTGTATCGAGATTTTCACTATTGCTTTGTTTCTCCAAATTCCGAAAAAGAGAGACATCAATATTGACCACTTATGTTTAAGGATATATAACAAAGAATACAAGTACATGTAATACACAGAATAATAATTTGTTGAGAAAAAGGTTCGTTAATGATTTTATAATGAGCCGTGTTACGTGAATACATCACTGAAGCATTATTATTTTAGAATCAATGTTGAATTCTAGTATTTATCAAATTACAATATATATATATATATATATATATATATATATATATATATATATATATATATATATATATATATATATATATATATATACTGAAACAGAAAAAAATCCACAGTGCTCGGTAGTTTACAGGTAAATCTTTTTAAAAAAGAAACACGAAAACCTTTAGGGCGCTTTCCATTAAACAGGCAACGCCGGATTTGCCGATGTTGCCGCCGACGCCGGATAATGGAACGCGCGTTGCCGGCAAGCAATTGCGGTCACGCATTTTACCATTGCCGATTCAGAAACAATATGGCGTCGTGTCATCGAGAGGAG